AATTTCCACATAGCCTCGCATCTTCAATTTGTAAAACAAAAGCAGTATGTTATTGACATCTCATCTAACCCTTTGCTTGACTAATTAGTTCATTAATCATTAAGCAGTTAATCAGTAAAGATTAATAGACTAATGGCTGAAGCTCTGTGTGCCAGGGMTATGAGCTTGTTTTGGTTGTGGTGGAGTGAGAGCCAGTCACAGATCTGTTGGCATTTTGTGTGTGTGAGGAACTTGAGCTGTTGCCTCCAGCAGACCCCAGGTGAGGCTGGGCAGGCTGGGATGGAGGAGCTGAGCTCTGGATGTCTGAGCTGGCTCTCGGTGCCCAGTTCCATGTGCAGGATGGAACTGCAGCTCCTGCAGCTCCTCAGGACATGATGTATTTACCACTGTGTAAAGGGCACTGTGTAATRACCCACGTGTTTGTGGGCTCCCCAATTCCTGCAGCCTGAGTCGGGAGCACAGGCTGTTCCTGGGGCTGCTGTGAGTAATTACACAGAGCAGAACAGCAATGAAAGGCTGGGCCAAGAATTGCCCTCTGACTCTGCTCTGTGCTGCAAAACTGAGCACTGCAAAACCTGCTCTGTTCCAGGGAGCTGCTTTCACTGGGGGGTTTGGTGACCAGCACAGTTAAATTAGAGCACTTGCTAGGTGAGCTCCTTGCCCTAACTTGTCCAAAATGCTGGCAGGGTGCTAGCAGCATGATCTCAGAGAGGGATTCAGAGACCACCTTCGAGGAGGATTCGCAGCCCAACGATGAGGTGGTGCCGTACAGCGACGATGAAACGGAGGATGAGTTGGATGGTCAGCAGTCTGGAGCTGAACCAGGACCAAAGCAAACCAGCAGRGATGCTGAGGAGAGCCGAGATGCCACCAAAAAAGGTAACAGCACCAATGTCAGAACATAACCACACAATCCTGGATGAGGAGGCTCAGCCTCAGGGACCAGTTGCACTGCTGTGCTTATTGTCAGGCAGGGTTTGGAATGCTCATCTGCCTCTGCAGGGATAATTGATGGCAATTCAGTTTAACAAATGTCACAACGAAACTCAGCTTCATTCCAACCTGCAGCCCAGTTCTGTGCACAGCTCCTTGCGTAAAGAGGATGAGCTGCATGGTGACCTCCTCCYAATTAAAGCAGGCCCTAGATGTACATGTCCTGTGCTCTGGGAATTGTTCACACAGACCTGCAGATACTCATCCTCTCAATCTGCTGTTAATGGGCTCCAGCAGAAGCCTTTTGCTGTGCTCAGTCAGTGCTTTTCCTGAATTTCTGCTTGTGCAGAGCAGATTTCCACCTCACTGCTGCTTTTGTAGCACCATGAGTATCCTGAAAGGTAAAAGGTGAGTAGGAGGAGTTCAAAGGAACCAGCAGGTACAGCCTGTGGCTGCTGCCCGTGTAGGAACAGCAGTGGGAGGAGCCTTTTGGGATCCCTGTTCTCCCCTAAATTCCTTTTTCTCAGTGCTGCAAGGCAAGTTAATTTAATTTTTAACTTAACCAAAGCCTGTTTAATTTATACAGATTTCTTCCTGTTTGTGTGGGGACAGCTGTTCACCTCTCATTTCATAACCTCCTGTTACGTGTTTTCATTTTACAAGCACTTATCACATGTTTAGTTTGGGTTTTTTTTATGATGACATCCTTTAAAGTTGATGAATTACCAAAGCAGYTTGCCAAATATTAGGTGCTAGTACCATAGTTTAAAGTAATATTTRAGGAGCTTTCTCCCTGTGGGTTTTACTTCAGACCTAATTTGCCAATTTTCCATCAGTTTTATCAACAGTGCAATGTTTATGGAATATCATAAAGAAATGTTTATGTAGACTAGTTCATGTTTTTCTTCATAGTAACATTCTCAATTGATGCTTATAATCTTTTAATCAAAACCTGGWCCTTTAAGATACATATTTCTCTATTATTTTCTGGGTTTGTAACCGAGATGCTGGAAATGAAAGTGGTGTAGTCACGGAAAARGCCCAGATATGTCAGTGCAGAGTATGCTCTGTGGTGGGTGGATAAAAAGTGYTTGGATTTGGGTTTTGAAGTGCCAGTGCCAGCCTGGCAGGCCCCACACCTCTGCCTCCAGCAGTTTCACCCCRTCCATGGTGAAGAGGATCCATGAAACCAGGCAGAGCTGCCATTAAAGACAGTCACCATGGGCTGAGGAAAGGGTGGCATGCTTGGCCAGTGAGTCAGGAAAGCTGCATTTCAAAACTGTGCCTGTGTCATCCTTCCAGGCAGGCAGAGCTCTGAAACCTGGGGAACGAGTTCCATGATGTGGGCAGGGCCTGACACTGTGGGTATCAGRGGCTTCGGGGAATGGGAGCTGAATGAGAGAAAGAGCAAATGGAAAATTACTTGATGGCTGAAGAAATCAAATGAGCACTTCAGATTTGTACCTTTTTATGGGTATAAATGAAAAGCGTGGCACTCTGTGGTTATAAATCAAATAATTGCTTGTAAAAGGCGACCTGACATCTGTTCTAGAAATACAGACACCTGGCTGGGAGTGCTTAGTGCTTCTCAGGAGTCACAGAAGCAAATCAAAAGAGGSGAGAAAAGGGAATTTAGCATGAATAAATGTTGCTCTGCAGGTTTCCCACAGAACTTTCAAATGTTAAGCAACACTTCTTCCTASCTCTGAATATACTTGAATTGCTAATAAGAACAGACAGCCTGGAAATGTCTCAAAAACCTTTTTTTCGTATATACTATAAAGCAGGTACTTACTTTTTTTTGCTTCTGACAGAATTACCTTTAAATGATGGATTTGAGAGAAAACATGAAAGTGGCAGATTTGTTTTCTCATGTTTGTACCAATTTTTGATTCATTTTGTCCCTTCCAGACTGCAGCTGGCAAGTTAAAGCAAACGATCAGCGCTTCTATGACCAGCCAGGCTTTAAGAGAACAATCTTCCTGTGCTTCAAAAAGAGCAAATATTCTGTAAGTTGTCTTATCCCAGTGAGGTGCTAATTGTCAGGTGGGGAASAATGACTGGGTTGGGGTTTGGGAATGGAAAATCTCAGTAACAAGAGACATGTTTAAGGTGAGATGGAGAATTAGAAGCTTCAATATATGCACTGTGCATTTGTGTTGGAAGAGAAGCTCTGCTGTGTGACTGACATTTGGCTTTCTTCCACAGGGAAATGCAATTAAGACTTACAAGTACAACCCCATCACTTTTTTACCTCTGAATCTGTTTGAGCAGTTTAAGAGAGCAGCCAACTTCTATTTCCTTGTTCTTCTCATATTGCAGGTAAGAAAGATGGAGAATACTGGCTGTGAAGGGAATTTGAGCTCAGTAATATTTATGACACTGATGTTTCTTGAGTTCATCTCATAAATCAGAAGCACCAACAGAATATATGAGCAAGTGCAATTGGTAAAGGGAAGCTGATTCCAAAGTAGGGTAGCACAGCCAAACACTTCCCACAGAGTTTTGTTTATTTTCACAACCTGAMTTAAAATTCTCTCTGATGTGTTGTTTTTTTCCTCTAGTCAGATCACTATGAAATGTCTCTGAATTGAGTTTGATTGATGATCCTGTCCTGAACTAACTTTCTTGGTCTTTTGTAGTCGATTCCCCAAATAACTACGCTGTCATGGTACACAACACTGGTGCCCTTGCTCTTGGTGCTGGGAATAACTGCAGTCAAAGACCTGGTGGATGACATTGTAAGAACCATGTTGTGTTAATATAAAAAGCAAAACCCACCCAGTGTAGCTCAATTCTCGTGTTGTGGCACAGAGCAGGGTGTACATTCTTTGCTCTGGTTTCAGGCTCGTCACAGGATGGACAATGAGGTCAATAACAGGACATGTGAGGTCATCAAAGATGGAAGGTTTGTATGTTCCCTCCTGAGTTCTGTAAGTWATGATTGTTGTCCTATTGCTAAGCTTTGTCACAGATCTGACTCTGGAGGTGATAGGAAAGGTTCAGCTCTGTTCTCTACTGCCTGKCTGAAAACCTAATTGAAGCTGGACGATAATTGCCCAAAGGAGTAATTTAAACTACATTATCTGGGACTAAATCTGTGCTAGGAGTAACTCCTTTGGAGAGGAGGACAGGAATTCCTAACTAGATGAAGTGGGAAGAGAAGTACACTGAATTCTGAGCTCTAGACCCTCAAATAAATTGCAGTTCCTGAAAAGCAAACCCACAGTGTACCTTTTTCTCCTCCTAAGGAAAGTTCAGTATTGCAAAATTTATAGAGTGCATAGTGTTCTAGATTAAARAGTAATAATTATTAAACTATCTTGATATTAGGTTCAAAAACACAAAATGGAAAGATATTAAAGTTGGTGATATCATTCGTCTGAAGAAAAATACTTTCATTCCTGTAAGTGCCTCAGATACATTTGCTTTAYGTTTCTAGAGAGTTCTGTAGGAATCTTGACCTGGGTTTATTTGATGTCTGTTTATTTGCTTTCTAGGCTGATATTTTGCTGCTGTCCAGCTCAGAACCAAACAGTCTGTGCTACGTGGAAACGGCTGAACTGGATGGGTGAGGCTCTCCTAAAGGATATCTTGGAGTTAATTTGGGCTGAGTGGTAAAAGAGCCATAAMCAATGTTCACTGGAGTGCTACAGACACATCCAAAGTGTTGGAGAATGTGACACGGGAAGAAAGGGGGAAGGACGTGGATTTATTTTTTACTTTAAGAGAGGTTGCCCAGAGAAGTAGTGGTACCTTAATTTGTGTTTAAACTTCTCCTGTATCTATTGTTTTAATAAACTCACTTTTTTATCTTTTCTTCCTAGTGAGACCAACTTAAAATTCAAAATGGCCCTAGAGGTGACACACAGATACCTTCAGGAAGAAAGTGCCCTGGCAGACTTCGATGGTTGGTACAGTTTTAAATGCTATTAAATACTATTAAAATGTAGCTCAAATAGCTTGCAAATCAATAAAAGTAAATTAAAGCTACTTCTGTGGTGGGTACAAATCAGTGCATSTGGATTTAACTTGTACATTAAACATCTCCTCCAAATTTTCTAGGTCTGGTTGAATGTGAAGAACCCAATAACCGACTGGATAAGTTCACAGGAACATTATCCTGGAGAAACTCAARTTATCCCCTGGATGCTGATAAGATTTTGTTGCGTGGATGTAAGATCAGGAATACAGACTTCTGCCATGGAATGGTCATATTTGCAGGTGTGCAGTGTTTCCCCACAAAAAGCATGCACATAGAGTGAAAAAGAATCTATATATAGATAAATATTCTATAGATATCAACTGTATTTCATGTCCAAGTTTGGTGAAATAGTAACAATGACTCATGTTTGCTTATCATATTTTTCCCTTTKTAAAAGTTTCCTATTTATTATTTTTAGGTGCTGACACAAAAATAATGAAGAATAGTGGAAAGACAAGATTTAAAAGGACAAAAATCGACTCCCTTATGAACTACATGGTTTATACTGTAAGCCTTTTTGTTTAAAATTCAGCATTTAAATGAATAGTGAATGCAAAGTTAGGCAGCTTTTTTGTGTGTGTGTGTAATATGTTGCAATTTGCTCTGGCCTGCTGCGCTGTGATGGAGTAGGAAGAAATCTAAAAGGTGCCTTTAGGTTTGCTCCRTTTCTCCTCACAAATAACTGTCATATAAATGAGTTCCGTTTGGAGCGCGGGGATTTGGGATTTGAGTGCAGCAGATGTTTCTGAGGTGTGAGAGGCYTCTCTGTGCCCCGTAGATCATCGTGGTCCTCATCCTGCTGTCGGCTGGGCTGGCCATTGGACACACCTACTGGGAGCAGCAGATTGGCAACTCCTCCTGGTACCTGTACGATGCTCAGGATTACAGCCCKGCCTACCGGGGCTTCCTCAACTTCTGGGGCTACATCATCGTCCTCAACACCATGGTCCCCATCTCGCTCTACGTCAGGTAGGGAGCAGCTCAGGAGCTGCCATTGTGTGCAAATGTCACATGGCAGTGAGAGCATTCCTCCTCTTTGTGTAGTGTGGAGGTGATTCGCTTTGGCCAGAGCTATTTCATCAACTGGGACCTGCAGATGTACTACCCCGAGAARGACACGCCTGCCAAGGCCAGGACCACCACGCTCAACGAGCAGCTGGGCCAGATCCAGTACATCTTCTCTGACAAGACTGGAACCCTTACACAGAACATCATGACCTTTAAGAAGTGTTGCATAAATGGGCAGAGATACGGTGAGTCTGTGCAAAGCCTGTGTGGAGGAGSAGGAGGGTTTTTAATGCCTGTTGCAGATCAGGTGCATACAAGTTCTCTTAGTTCCAGTTGAGCTTCCTCTCTCCTCTTTCCTTCCAGTCCTCGGGCACTACATGTTCTACACACGTTTTACTTTGTGCTGGGTTGTAAATCTTTGTTCTTGCCTTGCAGGAGATTGCCGTGACGCAGCGGGGCAGCTCCAGAGCCACCCAGAGGTAGGTTCATCTGAGCCACTGCTGTGTCCTGGCCTAGGAACATCTGAGCCAACCTGAATCCCCATGCCAAAGCACAGATTGATGCCAGTGCAAAAAATGGCACCTCTGCTAACTCAGACTCTCTCCCCCTGTTTTCTAAGCAGCAAGTGGATTTCAGCTGGAATGTGTACGCAGATGGAAAGTTCTTATTCTATGATCACTATCTGATAGAGCAAATAAAATCTGGAAAGGAGCCAGAAATTCAGAAATTCTTTTTTCTGCTTGCTATTTGTCACACAGTCATGGCTGACACTTCTGACGGTGAGTATGGCTTTTTGTTGGTTTATTTTCCATGTGTAGAGGGAAACAAGGGAGAGGTCCACTACTAATGCTGATCCCATAAGGGAGGGGTGTTAGGCTGCTGTTTTAAATGAAACAAAACTGAATGTAGAGGTGATCAGCTATTGAATTCATGGATATGAGACATATGGTTGGAAGATTCAACTAAAACATGAAAGATTGCTTTAATCCCATCTTTGTGAAATCTCCATGAAACCAACAGTATCCTGTCCTTTTTTCCTCCTTATGTTTTTGGGGTTGTTTCCATTTTATATTGGTGTCTGTTCCCAAGGATTTGTCTTTTGGAGCTTCTTTTGAAAATGTTGAAGTGACTGCATTGAGAAATGACGATATTGAGGCAGAAAGCGTGCAGTTTCTCTTTGCTAGCTAGAGGGAAGCTCAGCACTGATCCCATTTGGGATGTAGGGAATGGAGGGCTCCATGCTCTCCGTGTGCTCTCGGGGCTCTCAGCAGTCCTTGCTGCATCCTCAGGTTTATCCTGCCTCTCTCTCTGCTGCAATGCTCCAGGTCAGCTCAATTACCAGGCAGCTTCCCCGGACGAGGGGGCCCTGGTGACGGCCGCCCGGAACTTYGGCTACGTTTTCCTGTCCCGAACACAGAACACCATCACCATAAGTGAGATGGGGGTCAAGAGGACCTACGATGTCCTGGCCATCCTGGATTTCAACAGCGACAGGAAGAGGATGTCTGTCATTGGTAAGCTAATTGCCACCATAGAGAACATCATTTGTTATTCATGGGTGAAAAGGGACAAGAATTAACAGCTGTATGACAGTCCTGGGACAATTTGAGTACMCTGTAGAAGAAATGCCAGCTTGTACTTTTGGTCCTTGGCAGTAGGCTGAAAAACCCAATCTGAAACTGTTCCTTTGTGTAAGTGTGCCACCTGTGCTGCTTCCATCCACAGTAAGAGAGTCCAGTGGCAATATCAGGCTGTATTGCAAAGGGGCTGACACGGTGATTTACGAGCGGCTGCACCCCAGGAATCTAAAGAAAGAAGCCACAGAAGAGGCACTCGATGTATGTTTGTGTTTCATATGCTGTTTTTAAAACAAAGATTGGTAATTTCTGATAATTGTATTAATTWCCTTTTCCATTAACAAAAATGAAGWTCTGCAATTGGTTCTGAAAATCAGAATTKTTCTGTCACACTTGTCAACTGCTCATGTTCTTACCCTCATGTTTGAATTGCAAATGAAGAGTTTTCTTTAGTGGATATGTGTGGGTTTAATTATTTTTCAGGTCTTTGCAAATGAAACTCTCAGGACACTCTGCCTGTGCTATAGAGACATAAGCCAGGATGAATTTGAAGCRTGGAATAAAAAGTTTATGGAAGCCAGTTTAGCTACAAGTCACCGAGATGAAGCTCTGGACAAAGTGTATGAGGAAATAGAAAAAAACTTGATTGTAAGGAGCGGTACATTTTTAGCATGTTTCAATTCTTGTATTAAAAGAAACATGTTTCAATGCTGCTAAACATCTGTATTTCAATCCCTTCCAGCTGCTTGGTGCAACAGCTATTGAAGATAAACTACAGGATGGAGTTCCAGAAACAATCTCCAGACTCTCCAAAGCAGACATTAAAATCTGGGTGCTTACTGGTGATAAAAAAGGTGGGGTTGCCTACGGTCAAACAACTAAAAACAGGAGGAGTTTTTTTCCTGTTCATCTTCACTGTGGTATTGAAACGGAATTCTCACACTGAAATATGAATCAAAAATTACTTGAGCACCTCAGGTGCTTCTGGCTGTTACAGAACTTCCAGTAAATATTTTCCTCTCTTTTTAAAATTTTTTAAAATTTTTTAAATTTTTTTTAAATTTTTTTTTAGAAACTGCTGAAAATATTGGATTTTCTTGTGAACTGTTAACAGAGGAAACAGCCATCTGTTATGGAGAAGACACCAGGTTAGTGAAAACACAGTTCTTTTTCAGGATTTTCAGTTTGGGACTGTCCTAACTAACAGTTTATCCTGACTTTTCAGTGATAGTTTCCCCCTCTCTTTCCAGTGCTCTCCTTCAAACGAGGCTGGAAAACCAGAGGAACAGAGCAGGATCCAGTCCCCATTCCTCTCTCMGAATGAATGAGCCCTTCTTCCAGGGCAGCAGAGACCGGGCTCTGATCATCACTGGCTCCTGGCTGGTAGGTGCACAGGCTGCTCTCCTGGGTGTTTGGGATTTTGGGGTACCACCAGACTCCAGTGTAACTCTCTGAGGATTCTGTTCCTTTGCACCAGCATATATTAACCCTCCAGAAATGGATGCTGGCAGCATAATGACCTCAGGTGTATTGTTAGGCAGTGCCTGGAGTGGAACTAAAAATGATGCARAAATGAACATAATAAGTTTGGGTGTTTTCACAGAATGAAATTTTGCTGGAGAAGAAAAAGAAGAAAAAAAAACTCAAACTGAAATTCCCCAGAACAGCRGAAGAGAAGAAAAAGCAAAGTGAGAAGAGGAGAAGGGCCGAGGCCTACAAGGAGCAGCAGCAGAAGAACTTTGTTGATCTGGCCTGCGAGTGCAGGGCTGTGATCTGCTGCCGCGTGACGCCCAAGCAGAAGGCCATGGTGGTGGAGCTGGTGAAGAARTACAAGAAGGCCATCACCCTGGCCATCGGGGATGGGGCCAATGACGTGAACATGATCAAAAGTAAGGCAGCTGTTGAGCTCTCTGGCTAGGACACATCTCCTCTGCCTGCTCCTGCGGTCTCTCCGCTGTCCCTCTCTSTCAGAAGACTCTTCCATCTGTTTCGCTGCCACGGGCCTTTTAGCTTCTGTGCCTGTTTCCCTTCTTGAGGAAGCACTTTAGGAAATGGTTAGTGGTTTTTCCTGATCTATTTGATTTTTTTCTGTAGACATTCCCTGAGCAGGATCTCAAATCCCATCTGTTCTGAGGCTGTGGATTACAAAAGTGTAATATAAAGACCAAAGCAGTAGCTTGGCTGCCCCTTGCCTGGCAGCATTAGCCATCCCAGATTGCAACTGCTACTCTTTGAATAGCTTCCCAAGAGATCCCATTGACAAAAAAAAAAACTTTTGTGATAGGATTTTTGTCCCTAGGATGTTTCTAAACTGCCTGGCCAGTTTGTTCAGCACTTTGCTCACTCTCTCTCATTGCTTGGTTCTCCCTTGGTCAMATTTCCCAGGTGCATTCTGACAGAACAAGCACCGAGAGAGAATCCAGGTGACAGTAGAGACGTGTCCCCAGTCAGGTTCCTGTCCCTGTGTCCAACCCTGTGTGTGGTGTTTGTCTCCCTCACCCAGCTGCCCACATTGGAGTTGGCATCAGTGGCCAGGAGGGGATGCAGGCTGTCATGTCSAGTGACTACTCCTTCGGACAGTTCCGCTACCTGCAGCGGCTGCTGCTGGTCCACGGCCGCTGGTCCTACATCAGGATGTGCAAATTTCTGAGATATTTCTTCTACAAAAACTTTGCCTTCACACTAGTCCACATCTGGTACTCGTTCTTCAATGGCTTCTCTGCCCAGGTAGGAAGGTGTGCYTGTGTGGGATGACAACAGGCAGATGCTTCTGTCTCTGTGAAACAGCAAAGGCTGAGCCTGGGAAGTGATGGGAAGTGATGGGAATCACCAGTGAAGTTGTTATTAGTGATTTCTGCAGGATGTGACGAGTCCTGGGCAAGCTGGGTGTGATTCCAGAGCACCAAAGCCAGGATTGTGGTTGTACAGGCAGAAGTGGGGCAGCTTAACACAGACTAAAGAGTTTCAGCAGAGCCTGAGCCTTTGGGTGAATGCTGAGACAGGGAACTTTAAGCTGTGGTTGTTAATTTATCTAGGAATTGGAGGAGAAGGATGTAATAAAATGAAGCCACTAAGTCCTGCCCTTGTCCCTCTGTTGCAGACAGCCTATGAGGACTGGTTCATCACACTGTACAACGTGCTSTATTCCAGTCTCCCGGTCCTGCTCGTTGGCCTGCTCGACCAGGTATCCCATGTTGTTACCACAGATAAATCCAAAAGCATCGGGTCCTTAAGTTACATTGGTTTCCTTGTCCAGAAAACAAGAGGGGTTTGTTTAGTTTAGTCTTTTCTGTTACTCTCTGCAAATCCCTGCTATTAGAAATAAAGGATCTGCTGTTCCCTTTGGGACACGATATAGTTCAGCTTCTCACTCTTCAAATCTCATGCTGGGAACAATTCACAACTTTCTTTTTCTTTTTCCCCTTTATTAAGGACGTGAGTGACAAATTGAGCCTTCGGTTCCCCAGACTTTATATTTTGGGWCAGAGAGATTTACTTTTCAACTACAAGAAGTTCTTTTTAAGTTTACTGCATGGAGCTGTAACTTCACTGATCATCTTTTTCATCCCATATGGAGCCTACCTTATATCTATGGGCCAAGATGGAGAAGCCCCTGCAGATTATCAGTCCTTTGCCGTCACAGCAGCATCCTCTCTGATATTTGTGGTCAATTTTCAGGCAAGTAAGCTTGGCTTCCTGAGCTCTGGTGCTCTGAGAACACTTTCTGCTCACTGTTCTAAATTTCTCTACTGAAAAGGTAACAATGTGCAAAAAGTAGTTCACATTATTTGGAATTAATAACCTCATTTGGCACTTTTTTTTTGCATTTAGATTGGCCTGGATACATCTTACTGGACTTTTGTAAATGCTTTTTCAGTATTTGGGAGTATTGCACTTTACTTTGGGATCACATTTGACTTCCACAGTGCTGGAATCCATGTTCTCTTCCCTTCTGGCTTTCAGTTCACAGGTCAGTCCTGGTGGTTTGTGGTTCTCAGTCCTGTCTCATGTAGCTTTGTCMTAAACTAGGTTTTGACARGTTTTTTTTWAWTAWTCTTTTTATTCCCAGGAACTGCACCRAATGCTCTGCGACAGCCATACCTCTGGCTTACCATGATTTTATCCATTGCTATTTGCTTACTGCCAATAGTGGCACARCGCTTCTTATCCATGACAATCTGGCCTTTGGAAAGTGATAAAGTGAGTGAAATCTTTGTAATTTGGTGAATATGCAGATGGCAGGGATTTATTTACAGGGCTGGTGTCAGTGCTGAGGTGTGAGCCAGTGGAAGGTGTGCCTGCCCAGGCAGGAGGTGGAATGAGAKGGGCTTTAAGGTCCCYTCMAACCCAAGCCATTCTGTGATTCCATGATAATGTTAATGATAAGTAAGTGATGGTGCTCTCGGGGCAGAAATAAAAGATGGGAGAGGCCACAGGGCTGGACAGAGGCAGCAGCTCAGTGAGGGCTTGGCTGAGACCTGGTGACCCCACGAGGGTGCTGAGGGCCCCAGTTTGGGTCTAATGTAGTGGAGTGCCAGGGTTCCATGTCAGATTAGCAGGTTTGGCTGCTTSTGCTCTGCCTTCAGGCAGCACACAGCACAGGGGTATGATGAACACAGCTCAAGCTGTGGTGATGTTTCCTAAGCCATGCCCCGCTGTGTGTTCGTGCGTGCAGATCCAGAGGAACCGGCGGCAGTACCTGCTGGAAGAGCAGCAGTGGAAGCGGCGACAGAGCGCGTTCCGCCGCGGGGTCTCCGCCCGCCGCTCCGCCTACGCCTTCTCGCACCAGCGCGGCTACGCGGACCTGATCGCCTCGGGGCGCAGCATCCGCAAGCGGCGCGCCCCGCTGGACGCCGTGCTGAGCGGCACCGGCACCGGCWCCGGGGACACGCGGGACACCGGCTGATGGGCTGCGTGTGCCCCAGGGATTGCACAAAACTGTTCCCAACAAACTCAGGATCTCATAAAGATGGGAAGATGTTTATGTCTTATCACAGAAGTTTCCGGGTTTGGATTCCTGGGAACACAGAAAGGCCAAGAGTTCTCCAAGGAGCTACTGTGTGACTGCTCTGTGAAGGATATACGTGCTGGGAATGGAAACCCAGCAGTGTCAGTTTTTAACGATGCCTGCAACTGAAGACTTTTCACTTTTCAATACTACATTGGTATAAAACTGCATCTACATTTCATATTTATCTTGGAAAGCAATTTCCCGTGTGTGCTCCATTTCATGAACTGCTCAGACATCATGGCACATGGGGTGCTCAGCCCTGGAGRGGGCTCTGGATGCTCCCATGGGAGTGGCACAGCTGAGCTGAGGACGTCTCTGGCGGTAAACTTCAGCCAGTGTCAGRTTGGATTAGGAATTAGGATAGATCTGAGCTCCGGAAGCTACCCCTGGATCTGGCACAACCATTCATTTCAGTTTTGGCTAAAGCCAGTGATGGATTACTGGAAATCAGTCACTTTTATTGGAACGTATTCCACTTTCTGGTGCCTCAATTCTTACAGTGTAAAAACTGTTTTTATGAGTCTCTTTACGTTTGCACATTCTTTACTCAAGTTGATATGTTTGAATGTTTCACTTATTATCTACTTCCCCCTCCCGAACTAAAGTTAAGTACTGAAATAGTTTTATAATAAAATTTATGACCTACAGCTTTCGCTCAATGGAATGTACATTTCAAAAGTGTAATGCAAATAAATATCCTAAAGTTTACGAGTCCGGATGTTAGACTGGAACGCGCCGGCGCACCAGCACTTTCTCGCAGGGAGGCGTTCCCCGGCGTGCCCCGCCCCGTGTGCGCGGAAGAGAAGAAAAGGGAAGGGCAGGGCACAGCTTGGCTGACGCAAGGCGCTGGTGGGTTGGCTCAGCGTGCCCGTGATGCAGTTCCTGTGCCGCGACCATGGCGGGGGACGTGCTGGGCAGGACGGCGGCGCTGACCCTCGGTGAGAGCCCGCTCTGATCCCTGCATCCCCGCATCCCTCTGATCCCCGCATCCCTCTGATCCCCGCATCCCTCTGATCCCCGCATCCCCGCATCCCTCTGATCCCCGCACCGCTCTGATCCCCGCATCCCCGCACCCCTCTGATCCTCGCACCGCTCTGATCCCTGCATCCCGCACCGCTCCGATCCCCGCATCCCGCACCCTCCGGCTGTGCTGGGGCCGTGCGGGCAGGGCCGGGCCCGCAGCTCCGCTCCCCGTGGGGGCACCGGGAGCGGCCGCAGCTCCGCTCCTCGTGGGGGCACCGGCAGCGGCCGCAGCTCCGCTCCCCGTGGGGGCACCGGCAGCGGCCGCAGCTCCGCTCCCCGTGCGGGCAGGGCCGGGCCCGCAGCTCCGCTCCCCGTGGGGGCACCGGCAGCGGCCGCAGCTCCGCGCACACCGGGCCGGGCCCTCCCCGGGCGCCGGGCACGGGATGGTTCCCTGCGCTTCTCATTTCGGTTCTGGCCGTGGCCGATCTGAGCGCTGGCCTGGCTGGATCCCAGGCCCCGTGTCCCTGCTTCCCTAACAGCTGTACCCGGGAACGGCTGCTGCTTCTGGTGCCCTGTATGCAGCAGTGGCTCTCGAGGGGTCGGTACCTCGGCAGCCGYAAAGGCTTTAGTGAACACACTGTATGGATTTATTTTTTTAAAACTAAATGTATGAAATAATTCTTATTCTGACTGACCAGCTGCTGCCTTTGAAGGTCTGTCACTATTGACAACCATCATGATTTGGTATAATAGAAAGGTTTGGGTTGGGAGGAGCTTTAAGGGTCACCTCATCCAGCCCCACACATCCGTGTGTGTCCAGTTTCTTTCTCATAATTTCTTTTGAGTAATTGTCTATATTTGTCATGTATCCTAGAAGAATTGTATGTGTCTGAACGAGAGGGCAACGACTCTACCGGTGATGGGACACARAAGAAACCATTCAAGACTGTGTTGAAGGTGAGTGTGGAAAGCCTCTGCTTTATTTGGAACAGTGTTGAATGTGTGTTGGGACAAGTGATGGCATGTGTTTTTAAATATGAATTTCATACCTATTTTTGCAACCTGAGCAAAAGCAGGATGCTTGTTCAGGCTCTGTAAGGATTTTGGTTCACTCTGTGTATTTTCTCCACCTTTTTAGGCATTGATGACAGCAGGAAAAGAGCCATTTCCTACAATTTATGTGGATTCCCAAAAAGAAAACGAGGTGCTGTGGCATTGAAGGGTTTCCTAGTGAGAATTATTTTACTCCTGGTTGTGAAGGGACACAATGTAATCTGCTGTCTTTTGCTCTTTTTGAATTCTTTAGAGATGGGCCATCATTTCCAAATCACAGATGAAGAATGTCAAAAAGCTGTGGCACAGGGAGCAGATGAARAATGAAGCTAAGGAGAAGAAGGAGGTAGGCTGCAGAAGAAACAGAGCACCTTTGTTTTCCAAAAACATTACAGTGTCATAATCATTCCTGTCCCTTCAAAAAAGCAGCAGGCTGTTCCTCACTGGTGCTGATGTTTCACATGTAATTTATTTACAACTGACCTGGTTACAGCTATTTAATAAGTTAATTTTTTTTCAAACCAGGCAGAAGATCTCTTGAGAAGAGAGAAGAACTTGGAGGAAGCCAAGAAGGTTGTTATCAAGAATGATCCCAGCCTTCCAGAGCCTAAATGTGTGAGTRTGATCCCATGTCTTGGCACATAATGGCCAGCACAGAGATTGTTTGTGCTGCTCTGGGGTGGGGGTCTGAATTAACCCTGTGTCTAAGGGTTTTGATATATAAATTCCCCTGTTTGATGGCTTTTATTCTCTGCCTGACAGGTGAAGATCAATGCTCTGGAGGCTTACAGAGGGCAGAGAGTGAAGATTTTTGGCTGGATCCACAGGTTACGGAGGCAAGGTAAAGCACAAGCATTATTAAGCCTGTGCAAAAAGATAGAACGAGTACAGTGACCTTCAAATTTTGGGCACAGAATGAGTCTGACAGCACCTGGTCTCAAATTTTTAAAGCATCAGTTAGGTGCCCTCTTTGGGTGATTACCATGGTCACTGCAACACTCACAATYCCCYCTGATGTGTGGGCATACAGACATTYCTTMGTTCTAATCAYAYAGAATTTTCAGTTTGGAGGCTGRTCATGCAGGATTTCCTCAAGACTTATTCTGTGTTTTAAGCTAATCCTGCCAAGGAAAGAGCTAACCCGCCTCACAGTGAAACCAAATTTCTTCTCTTTTTAACTAGGGAAAAATCTGATGTTTATTGTCTTGAGAGATGGCACAGGGTTTCTTCAGTGTGTCCTTTCTGATGAGCTGGTAAGTTGTGATGGTTCTGTTATGAATTGAAGAGTTTATACCCCATCTGGTGTTGTTAAGTTCTCATCTATGTGCTGAATTGGTTGTGTTACTGTTAAATTGTATGTTCTGCTGCTGCAGTTTGTCAGTGTGAGAGCTGTTCAGAGTGTGTGAGTTAATGTGTGACTGCAGTAGATGCCATAGRAAGGTTCAGAATAACAATGTGCTCACCTGGACCTTTGTCTGTGTCGCTGCAGTGCCAGTGTTACAACGGGCTGGTGCTGTCCACAGAGAGCAGTGTGGTGGTGTACGGCACGCTGAATCTCCTGCCCCAGGGCAAGCAGGTATGGCAGCTCCTCCAGCTTCTCCTCAGGGGTCASTGGTGTCCTGAGGGAAGCAGAGGTGAAAGAATCACTGAATTGTTCCAGAGGGAATTAGGGCTGGAGAATGAACAAACCTCCCAAAGCTGTGCTCTCACCACCGTTCAGTGTGAGGCAAATGAACTGTGTGACTCTTCTGCTTCTGCCTGAAATGGTTTTCCACTGATAGATAATTCCTAGAGCATAGCAGTGGAGAACTATGTTAAATAAATGACATGGCATCATTTTCCCCAGCAGGTTTATTCAGTTTTTATTTTGTAAGGCTAAGAATTTGGCCTGACCTCTTTTATTGAGATGGATCGACCCGAGATTAGGCAGTGCCAGCCCACAGTATTGCATTTTGGTAAAAATCTGTGAGTTAGCCTTTGAAAATGCTGGGATTGAATTTAAAATGCCGTTTTTTGGTGATGGAAGGTGGCTGTGACCACACGGGGGAGCTGCTAAGAGCAGAACGCAGTCACACACTGATGGGTTGGAAGGACATTAAGGCTCATCCAGTGCCACCCTCTGCCATGGGCAGGGACACCTTCCACTATCCCAGAGTGCTCCAAGCCCTGTCCAGCCTGGCCATGGACACTTCTAGGGGTGAAGGAAGCCACAGTTTCTTTGGGCAACCTGTACCAGGGCCTCCCCACCCTCCCCAATTCCTTCCCAATATCCCATCTAACCCTGTCCTCTGTCCATGGGAAGCACATAGTGAACTTTCTCCCCCACTGGCAGGCTCCGGGAGGCCACGAGCTGAGCTGTGATTACTGGGAGCTCATCGGTCTGGCCCCAGCAGGAGGGGCAGATAATTTGCTCAACGAGGAYTCGGAGGTTGATGTGCAGCTCAACAACAGGCACATGATGATTCGGGGTGAGAACATGTCCAAAATCTTCAAGGTGCGCTCCATGGTGGTGCAGGCCTTCAGGGATCACTTCTTTGCCAATGGATACTATGAAGTAAGTGCATGCTGCCCAGTCAGTGAGTGACCACTCCAATGCCCTGRCTCTCATCCATGTCCTCAGTTCTTCACTCAAGCAGTGACAGCCCTGTTCTCCAACAGGTCACMCCACCAACCTTAGTGCAGACGCAGGTGGAAGGAGGCTCCACGCTCTTCAAGCTGGATTACTTTGGTGAAGAGGCATACTTGACCCAGTCATCCCAGCTCTACCTGGAGACCTGTCTGCCAGCTCTGGGAGATGTCTTCTGTATCGCTCAGTCCTACAGAGCGGAGCAGTCCAGGACCCGCAGGCACTTGGCAGAGTATGTACAGTTGTCCTCCTTTTTTTTAAACACTTTGATTTCCTTTAGTGTGGGAATAAACAGGGGACAAATGTTGAGTTTGTTTCATAGCTAAAGATGTGATGTTTGTATGTGACTTTGCAATGGTGTGATTCTGTTTTAGGTACACTCACATTGAAGCTGAATGTCCTTTTATAAGTTTTGAGGATTTGTTGGACCGTCTGGAGRACTTGGTGTGTGATGTTGTAGACAGAGTCTTGAAATCACCTGCAGCGAGCTTACTGTATGACCTCAACCCGGTAGGCAGCAATGGGAATAGCCAAGAAAGTGGGACCTTAAGCYTTTCCCATTCAGCATATTCCTTTGGGAGACATGGGACATGGCATAGTTACTTACTATTGTTAATAATAAGAATATTAAATAACATCATAAGAATGAAAAAGCTGCAAGGCTGGTAATGACTTCCAAAGCAGGGGACTGTGGGGAAGAATGTTCTCTGCTGGCACAGTCCAGGAGCCAGCAGTGTGCCAGGATTTATGGCAATGTGTGCTGTACCAGTGGAATAAAAACCTCCATCCCAGAGCTTGGATATCGACCGGCTCGTGCTTGTGGATGGAGCACAAGGGAGCAATGAAATAAGTGGTGTTTCAGTTCCTCCCTCATAATGTGCAGCCCTAAAGCTTCTCTCATTTGTTAAAGCCTTTTTGTCTTCTGCCTTTGCAGAGAAGATTTGTCTTTGAGAGACACCCAATCTCCATCACAGAGTACAAACTCACTCATCCCTGGGGTTTGGCCTGTTTTCCTGATAAACACTGCAATGTTCAGTTTTAGATTTGGGCTGAGATGGGACAGGAGGTGGGATGTAG